AAAAGAAAAATTCAAAAAAAAGAAGAAGAGAAAAATAGAGATAAAAAAGGGAAAAAAGAAAAAAAAAGGGGAAAAAAGGGAAAAATAAAAAAGATAAAGAATAAAAAAAGAAGAAGAAAAAAGGAGAAAAGAAAAAAAAGGGGAAAAAGAGAGAAAAAGGAAAAAAGGCAAATAGTAACAAAAAGTAGTCTTGTGAACAACATTTGACCTGATTCTTGTCACCACAAGATACGTAGACAGTCTTATGATTCGGTCATACCAAATAAAATATTTCATAATCCCACGAAGTCGAGAGTGGGGCAGTCTTTCTTAGAAATTCCATCTAAAAAAAAGAGAGGGAGAATCAAATTCTCTTGTTTTAGAAATTGGGGAAAAGTTTAAAATGGAATCCAAAAGTTGTAAATAAATTAACCCAGTTGTCTTAATTATTTTGAGCCTTTATGATATCCTTTCTTTCTAATCCTATCAAAAAGTCACATTACAGTCCAAAAAAGACCTCCCGGATAATCTTTGAGAGTACTTAATTTAGACATGCCAAGAGTATATGATATTTTTACCATGGTTAATGCCTTGTCATCTGCAGAATCAGAGGAAAATAAAGAAAAAGAACAAAATGAGAGAGTCTTATCGGTGAAAACCTTCACAGGCACCATAAGGTGACGGTAGGTTGAGAGAAAGAACAAAATGAGAGAGGCTTGATGGTGAAAACCCTTCGGGCACTACAAGTCGAATAAGGATCGTGAAATAGATAGGATAATCGGAGCATTGAAGCCCAGTTTCATGGCAAAGAGGTACAATAAGAGTTGAGCATTAGATTTACTTGACATATTAGGCCACTTAATCCAAAGGTGCATGTCATAGTCATTAGAGTTGGTATCCACATCTGATAAATTTCTACTTTGTAATTTCCTTGTTAGGTATCATCTTTTTTCGTTGTCCTTTTTTTCTATTCCTTTTATTTTGTTTACTTCCTCTTCTTGAGTCTATTTGGTAAGGACAAGTGATAAATGACTTCAAAATATACTACCAGCTTTCCAATTGCACAAAACGGAGTCTGGCTAGCACATCAAAGCGACATAAGTTAAGAAAGAGCAGTATACACACTGAATGGATGACAATCGGAGTGCTTTGGGATTCATGAGAAATACAAAGGTTCGGTAAATGTCAGTTCATGAGCAAAATGCAACAGATAGAAGGTATTGAGTTTGAATGAATCAGATGTGTTTTCTGCGATAAGGGTGACAGAGAAAGTGGTAAGTCAGTAAGCAAGCAATGTCTTTCAAGGTGAAATCAAATTTATCATGGCAAGTGAAGGATCATTTGCCCTCAAAGTCAAGGCCACAAACCAACCACCGGGTTTAAACTCACAAGTTTTTTTTGTTTGAAACAGGGACGAAAGCTATGTTCATATCAAAGCTTGGAAGCTTGAATTTTTCAGGTGTAATGCCCCAATTCTACTTACACAAAGACTATTGAGAAGATCACACATCACCACTAGGAGAAGCACTTCATACTCTGGGTTTTCAAGTTATATTTTATTATAGGAGACGCATTTCCTACATTGAGATTTTACCCATAGGAGACACATTTCCTAGTCTAGGTCTTTAAGGTTATACTTTTGTTTTAGGAGACGCACTTCCTAAATTGAGATTCCACCCCTAGGAGACGCACTTCCTAGTTTTGGGCATTTAAATTCATCCCTAGGAGACGCACGTCATAGTTGGAGTCATTAAAGTTTTACCCGTTATGAGGCACACTTCCTAGTAGGGGGTTTTCAGATTATACTTGTTATGAGACACACTTCCTAGCTTTGGTCATTTAAATTCATTCCTAGGAGATGCAATTCCTAATTTGAGTCATTGATGCTCCACCCCTAGGAGACGCACTTCCTAGTCTGGGTCTTTTAGGTTATATGTTTGTTTTAGGAGACACACTTCCTATATTGAGATTTCACCCCTAAGAGACGCACTTCCTAGTCTGGGTCTTTCAGGATATACTTTTAGGAGATGCACTCCCTAAATTGAGATTTCACCCTAGGAGACGCACTTCCTAGTTTGGGTCTTTCAGGATATACTTTTAGGAGACGCACTTCCTAAATTGAGAGTTCATTCATAGGAGACGCACTTCCTAGTTTGAGTCATTGAAGTTTCACCCATAGGAGACGCACTTCTTAAATTGAGAGTTCATTCATAGGAGACGCACTTCCTAGTTTGAGTCATTGAAGTCTCACCCCTAGGAGATGTACTTCCTAGTCTGGGTCTTTCAGGATATACTTTTAGGAGATGCACTTCCTAAATTGAGAGTTAATTCATAGGAGATGCACTTCCTAGTTTGAATCATTGAAGTTTCACCCCTAGGAGAAACACTTCCTAGTCTGGGTCTTTCAGGATACACCTATAGGAGACGCACTTCCTAAATTGAGAGTTCATTCATAGGAGACACACTTCCTACCTTGAGTCATTAAAGTTTCACCCCTAGGAGATGCACTTCCTAATTTGGGTCTTTCGGGTTATATTTTGTTTTAGGAGATGCACTTCCTAGTTTGAGTCATTTAAGTTCGGCCTTAGGAGACGCACTTCCTAGTCTGGTTCATTGAAGTTTTACTTGTAGGAGACGCACTTCCTAATCAAGGTCTTTCAAGTTGTTATTTTTGGAGACACACTTCCTAAATTGAGAGTTCATTCATAGGAGACGCACTTCCTAGTTTGGTTAATTCAAGTTTCACCCCTAGGAGACACACTTTCTAGTTTGGTTCATTTAGGTTTTATTTTTAGCAGACGCATTTGCTAGTCAAAGTTTTTTTGGTTTTACTCATAGGAGACACACATCCTAGTCTAGTCTTTAGTTTACTCTCATCATTGCATCAACAGTATAAGTGGTTTACAATATTGCTAACAATTCACAAATCTTCCTAGTGCAAACTGGGACAGAAAATTTTGTTTGTTTTGTTTGTTTTGATTGCAGGCACCCACATGGAAAACAAGGGAACACAGAAAGTTTCAGCAATCAGGCGCTCACCTGGAGAACAAGGGAAGACAATTCAAGTTTTAAGGGAAGATAGTTCAAGTTTCAAGGAAAAGCAGTTCCGAGGGAACACAGAAAGTTTCAGCAATCAGGCACCCACTTGGAGAATAAGGGAAGACAGTTCAAGTTTCAAGGGAAGACAGTTCAAGTTTCAAGGGAAAACAGTTCCAAAGGAAGACAGTTCAAGTTCAGCAATCAGGCGCCCACCTGGAGAACAAGGGAAGACAGTTGAAGTTTCAAGGAAAAGCAGTTTCGAAGGAAGATAGTTCTCGTTCAGCAATCAGGCGCCCACCTGGAGAACAAGGGAAAACGGTTCAAGTTTTGAAGGAAGGCAATTCAAGTTTTGGCAATCAGGCACCCACCTGGAAAACAAGGGAATTCACTTTACTCAAGTCAGCAACAAAAGAAGCTCGTGGTAAGAATGCAAGTCAACTGTCCGAGATGATCAACGGAAATTAGTCACAATCCAGAATGTAAAAAAAAGGCAAGAAGTGAATTCAAATGCAGAAGTTGATGAAAGATGTGAGTTGCTCAAGACATGACCAAAGTCACAAGCATGGTATGTTCGGTTTTGATCCGAAAGGCTGAAGAAGAATGAACTAGCACCTGCAACTAGCAAGCGTCAAGGTTCAAATCCAAAATCTGCATGAAGAACCATTCAAGACTCAAGATCAAGCTTCAGAAGATTTATAGATAGGAATCTTATAACTAATAGTTGACAGACTTAGTTAGTCTTTTTCATTTTTTGATTTTGATGTAATAACAGGACCGTAGACCAGAACCTCGATGGAATGGCACCTCGATCGGCTCTCCACCTCGGTATACTCCATCATCTCACTCACTTCTTAACTACACGTGGCATGATTCCTTTATAGCCAAGGATATGTAGGCAGCTCAGATACCAGGGCTCGATCACATTCTCCTTTCTTTTAGATTCTGGTCTCTTTAAATAAGAGTCGAGTCAAAAAAACCTGTCTAGTCGTTCTTTGTCTGAAAATACTTCATATTTCCATTCAAAGAGGGGCAGCTGTAGGTATGTGATTTTTGACCCTCCCCAAGATTTTGCATATTTTAGCATTTAAATACTTAGTTTAGGTTTAATATAGTTATTTCAACTAATTTTAACTCTTTTACTTTATTTCGTCACAGAAATTAAATTAAAAAAATATTTTTATTTTATGTACCTTTCATAAAATTACAAAATACAAAAAATAGTACCTTATTTTATCTTTTTATAATCTTAAAAATACAAAAAATATAGTTTCACTTTTAATATCTAGTTTTATTTTAGTAGTGTATTCTAATTAATTAAGAGTAAGTTTTATATTTTCATATTTTACTCTTCTTACCCCAAAATTAAGACCTAATAAAACATGAACCTAACCCAATTTCAATGTTAAATCCCAAAAACCCATTAGACCCATGAGATCTTTCTTTTTAAACCCTAAAATCCCTAAGCATAAAAGGACCCATAGACCTAATACTAAATGAGCTGAAAAATACACAAAAAATAGACATACAAACCGAGATGCCTATTAGACTCTGAAGAAATCTGCCGCTGAAGGACAGACCCCCATCCCCCCCCCCCCCCC